CACTAGCTGTCCCTTGAAGCTGTAGTATTCTGTGGACCCTACGTGTGTTATACAGAACCAAGAGTACAATTTTAATTTAGGTATTTTTAAAGCTTTAACAAATGTACATAGAGCTAAAATGTAAAAATTGTCCTACAGAGAGGTCAAAGAGTCATAAATGAAAGGCAGAAGAGTAGTTTGAACGTCTGGTTTAAATATATTGAGGAAAGGAAGACGCATGTGTTTGGGCATGGTCTTGCTCCTGAACTTCAGATTAAAACCTCCAATTCACTAGCTGGGACCTTGCCCTTGAGGAGGGATGTATAATTGAATGAATGCTTGAGTACAGTGCAGTTTGGGGGAAGGCTTTGGAGGTTCACGGCACTGGCAGACCCCCAAAACCTAAGAGATGACAGCAGATTGGATTCTTTTGAAGCCTTGTGGATTTGACCTGATGTAAAGATGGAAGGATCGGGTTGACCCCTGCCCGTGATGAGGTGGTCCAGAACACTTTTATTTGAGCTGGAGTGGTGGCACCTACTAAAAGGACATGAGTAGAGATCAAGTGTGATGATGGAGAGGGTGACAATTATCTGGAAATGGTTGAGGAACCAGAATCTTGTAGCCACTCATCCTAAATCCTTGGCATAGAGTGTTGGTAGAAAAGGTGCTGTGCAGTAGGTGGAGTCGTAGATGATGGACAATTGGTTCATATAGACCAGGGGTGGAGTTTTGCTTGTGATGAGGATAGGCTCAGGATTGCCTAGTTGATTCATTTGCTTCGTATGAGAATGAAGGCAACAACTGAGTCAGAAATGATCTTGAGATCAACAACTCCTGGATGAATTTGCAGATCAAAAAAGCTGATTGTGTTGTGAATTCAGTACATCTTAGAACCTGAAGAAGGTGTGAAAGAACATTGTCTTGAGAGAAGAGGACACGGTTTTGGAGGATAGGTTGATTGGATGGTGGAAAGGAGATCTGATATAAGTGGAAGCTGCTTGTACTGGAGATGTACGTTTGAAGTCCTTTGATTAGTATTTCAGCTGGGGACGTGGAATGAATAAGTGATGAAATTTCAAACATGAGAACTCGATGAATGGAAGATGTTCCATACTGAACAGTAGGAGGAAAGAGTTCTGGGGTAACACTGTTGACAATGGTATCCTGTTTTAGACCGATGCAATGAGATGAGTCTGGGTTTAGATCAGCAGCCCTATAGATGGAAACAGAGGAGTAAGCATTGGGAGTTCCTCTGCATTTGGAGCTAATGACCTGAAAATGGAAGCAAGAGAGAGACCACAATCTGATTGTAGAAACCAGGAATGTTCACAGTGTGAATGGTGAACTGGTATCATATTGCTAGACACATGAACCAGTGTACTGATGGAGATAGAGGGACAGGTTGCATCCTGGTGTTGGGGAAAATGGAAAATGAAACAGGCAGCCCAGTGCCAGGGAGTTGCTTTGACCTTTGTCGATAATATCAATGGTTGCCATGTTGTCAGAGTGGATGAGGATGGTTTTACATTCATGATCAGGGATTGCAGTAAACACAATCGAACTAACCTAAGGAAAAGCATAAAGGTTGAGAAATTACCAGAGCTCAGATGGCCATGAGTCTGTGAACCGTTTCAACCTCCGTATGGCCCCAGAATCTACTGAAGGGGTGGTGTTAGTGACAGGGTTAATGTAATGAGGAGTGTGACAGACACTGAACTGGAGGAGATGATAGGTGAGGCAAAAGGAGGAGAACATCCCGAAGGACATTTTACATATGAAGAAATTCTTAGGATTACAATTTAGGTTGGTCAAATTTTCTGCTATGCAATAAATAGGAATCAGATAGACTGGCAACATGTCCAGGGTGGGCCCTGCCTCTTGCCCAGTGTCAGCTGGGATTGGCTCCAGCTTTCCCATGCGACCCTATTCAGAAATATGGATGGATGGATAACTTACCAGACATACCTGACAAAACTTCTAGCTAATGTTTTACATTTATGTTGATAAAACTAAGATTTACAAAACAAAATGTCAATGTCAGCCTAAATATGTATTAATAATATTAGTAGTAGTATTTTCAAAGGCTCCTTGTCTTCAAATTGACATGAAATGCTTATTAATTGTGGGTAAAGTAGTTCATAAAATGTTTAAAAAAGACATAACACTGAAACCATTCATCAAGTTCCCAGTCATTTGTGTTTACAATAGCCTGACTGTCTCCTGTAATCTCCTTCAGTCTCTCCACTGGCCTGTGTGTCATTGTGTAAATGTCAGCTTCTGAACAGACAGAGGATGGAGGGAGATGGACAGCAGAGAGGAAAAGCTGCTCAAAAGAGAAGGGTCACACACAGACGAGGAACGCAGCTGTCCAAACACTGAGCCTCTCTGTACCTGCTCTATAGCTACCTCTTTCCTTTAGCCCTGTTCTCAGATTCAACACTCAGCCTGCCTGCCTTTGCTGCTTTCTGGTTGCACATTGTTTTTCTGTGAACACACCTGCCTGCTACTGCTGGAAATGCAGCTGATGAGAGCACTGAGGCTGAGTCGAGCAGTAAAGCTGAGGATCTTAAAATCAAAAAAAGCTCAAATCTAAACTACATAGAGTGGTCTGATACTGCAGTCGGTAGATGATTCACTCTGGGTTCTGCACTACGAGGAACAGCTTTCACATTACATGTAGTGATTTGTTCTATTGATCTATTGATCTATTGTGTGTGTGTTTGTGTGTGTGTTACTGGATGCATTGCCATAAAATTTGGTATATCCATCTCTTTTATTGCTCTTTCAGGTTCTCCCTAAATTTTCAGATGGCTTAGGCAGCTTGGGGAAAGGACAGGAAAGGAAAGATGGAATTTGATTTGAAGTTAAATTTAGAACATTATGTAACACCAACTAATAACTTCCTTGGCTAGTGTAACTTTCCTAATTTAGTAGATTCAGCTACATTACAAATCCTCCCCAACAAAGCTATAGCCTACTTCGTGCATTCTTTGCAGAGGCTGACTTTATCGATGGCTATAACTACGTCCTTGGTCAGAGGTACAGAGAAACATTCAATCAGCTGTTTGATTAGCTTAGCAATGTTGCCAGTCACACAATCATTCCTTTGAACACTGGTTGTTGATCGACAGGTTATTCCTGTTGCAAGCTTACATTTTATTTGAAGATCAAGTCACCTCACTGTTATTTTACACACTGCTATATCACTTTTTTATATTTATTTAGTGTAGTTATAAAGATACTGAGGTGCCATGCCTAAGGCTTTCCATAGTAAGGAAACCCCAATTTTTATTTTCAAATTGCAAATTGCACATATAAAAATATAGTGAACATATAAGAAATGTAAAAAAAAAGGGCTGAAATATTACATAAAGTTTTTAGGCTTGGCTGAGGTAGAAAATTTGATATACTGATAAAAGCAAAATGTGACTGCATGCAAAGGAAACAGAATTCAGAATAAATTATGATGCAAATGAAACATGCCATACATATCTCTGAAGCCTCTGTTCCACCAAAAAGATGAAAAATTGCAGGCCTGTTAAACATTTAAAATCAAATATACAAACACAATTACATGTGCAAAATGTTACTTTCCAAAGCAGTTGTACTTGGTTACAAGGTACTTTATGCCTGGTTTCTACACACTGATAACACTTCCAAATCACCCTCTACACAAATCTCTCTCTCTTTTGTCTTTAGCGCCTTGTCTAGCTCTTCTCTCCTCGGCTCTACCTTCTCTCTCTTTGTGTTCTCTGTGGGCAGATCTCTCACTTTCACTGTCAGGAGGAAGAATGTGTCTATAGAGATCTGTGTTGGCTGTGACTCTGGCTTCTTCCTGAGTCCCAGTCTTGGCTCCAACCATTTGTTGCTCTTCAGCTTGCAGTCATCATACTAATACTATACTAATCCACACACAGCACTCTTTGTGAGTACGGATAACAAAACGCCACTCTGAGTGCAGATGATCAAATGGATGCATTTGGACAATCCCTTTTCTTTCTGAGAGAGAACACAGCGCCTGCAGGATTTCTAATTCTGTGCAATTTTTTCTACTGCTCATGAGGTGCAGTGATCAACTGTGTCTGACAATATTGTAATATTCAACTATTTGTAACTCCATCTTTGGCCAGGTGCGTGCGGTGGTGTGAAAGCTAAAAGGGTTTGGACTCTCACGCCTAGTTCTTCTTACATAAAATGTGTGTGTTAACACAATGGCACACCTACTTTGGTCACCTTTTTGTGTACAGTTAGTCTTTGAGAATGGGAAGATTTGTCCAAAAATGTAAAACATTTGGTGAAGATGAGGGAGAGGTTGGTTTTTGCTAAATTGTGAACAATGTATCTTACAGTTTGCAGTCTAAACATTATGTCTATGTCCATAGAATGTCATAGGGATGATGTATTCATGTTGGCCATTAACTAATGTCAGCATTCTTGTAAGGTGAAAGTGTTGTTTTCAGGAGACGGGGTTTAATGTTGCAAACTAAAATAAAGTGAATTTGGTTATAATGTAACACAAGTGAGATGCATGGTATGGTGAAGGTTTTCTTATCCCCACCATCAAAAGGCCTTTCACATACAGTGTTCGAAAGGGTGAAAAATGATCCTGTACAGTTATGATACATTGTGTAGTATATGCAGTGTGAAGAGTTAGTTTATACTCCTTCCTTTGGTTTTTCTCTCAGAAGACTTAAGTGTCTTGTGATTGATTCTTCTCTCTTACTGTGTTATCAATAGCTATTTTGTTTACATTTTCTGAGAATGATGTGCCAACCTGCTGTTATAGTGTCACAGTCATAACTAGATACGCTTAACTCAGGTGCTTCGGCAAAAATGGTACACAAATCAAAAAGAGACCGATACCCACACATTGATGATGCTCCCACAGCTAATTTAGGAGAGCAACACACAGATCTTCATCATGAAGACATAATCTAGAAATGCTGATTATGTGTATTGGTCTAATAAATGGCATTCCTCTCTCTCTCTCTCTCTCTCTCTCTCATGTGTTTCCTCAGGTTGTTTGCCACCAAGTGCAGTGGCTGTTTGGAGAAGATCTCATCCACAGAGTTTGTGATGCGAGCTCTGGAGAGTGTTTACCACCTCAGCTGCTTTTGCTGCTGTGTCTGTGAGCGCCAACTGTGCAAAGGAGACAAGTTTGTTCTGAAAGAAGGTCAGCTGCTATGCAAGAGTGACTATGAGAAAGATATGGACTTGCTGAGCACAGTCAGTCCAGAGAACTCTGACTCAGGTAACACTGGAAAGTCTATAGCAGGCTATTACAAACCCCATAAATTTGAAAACAAATTCAATTACTTAATGTCCTAATCTCTAACTTGACAAGTGGTTCTCATTTTCATTATTCCAGTAGAACTTGACCTTGCCTGGAATCCCAAAAAGATAATTTACATGAGTGGAGTCAGTTTTGTAGTAAAATAAAAGAAGTGTGTTTAATTAGTTTCTGTGTGTCTGCTGACAGATAAGAGTGACAGTGAGAATCTGGATGTCAAGATAGAGAAGTGCCCTGCAACAGGGAAAGGCAGCAATGACAGCAAAGACACTCGTCAGCCCAAACGGCCGCGCACCATCCTCACCTCCCAGCAGAGGAGAGCCTTCAAGGCCTCCTTCGAGGTCTCCTCTAAACCCTGCAGGAAGGTGATGCACTAAGTAAACTGTAGAATTTAAGCTTTACTTGGTTTGCAGATTGGAGCTATCACACTCCTGTTTCTGTTTTGTCATGTCTTTCTGAAATCAAGAGGTAAGCCTGAGAGCGGTACTGTTGAGTAAAAGCCCTATAGCATTCATAACGCAGCACAGAAAAACTGCAAAACATACAAGAACAGTGTATAGAGAAAAACCTCAGAGCCTCGTTCAACCGTTAATATATTTACTGCTGATGATGTGATTGAATGTTTGCTTAAGTGTTAAGGAATTCAACAGATGTAGATAGATAAAGGAAGGTAAAGGGTAACAAAGCTATATTTTGTCTCATATAACATTTGAAAATGTCCAAGACTTTCACATCTTTAAATTCACAGATGTATTAAATTATTACTTGCAATTGGTTACACATATTGATGCCAATATAGCATGTTGGATATGTTATAAATAAGCATCCCATTTAAACACAGTATTGCTAGATTACATTCATCTCACCTTATTGTAGGTGGAACCTCAGAGCTCAGGTTTTAGGATTTCTTTCTCATGTAACCCCAGCATGATCTCAATTCCAACAAGACAGACCTTACAGACCACCATCACAACTTGGCTATAGAAGGAAATGAAAGATGTTTAATTCATGCACTCCCAGGATCAGCAGGGACAGTGGATGAGATGGAAAGATGCAGAAAGGAAGAAACTCAGCTAGAGGGAAATGTAGGACATGGAGGCAGGAAGGATCAAATATACCCCTCACATACTAATAGCAATGATTACATACTGGCTGTCTGACATTTGGGAAATATGCGCTAAACACAACACACCTGATGTTAGTGTGACTGATGTGTGACTGTGCTGTGACATGCAGGTGAGAGAGACGCTGGCTGCAGAGACAGGACTCAGTGTTCGTGTGGTCCAGGTCTGGTTCCAGAACCAGAGAGCAAAGGTCAGTAAAGCAGTGCACCAAAAACGAGCCAGTAACACTCACAGTGCATAAATAGGTAATGCTGTGTTCACATCATATGTGACTGAAGCATTCCCATATTTCTGAATCGCAAGCATTCATCCTCAGACAGCAGCTCTCACACTGTGCTTTTTACTCAT